TGCTGAGCGTGAAGACTGGTGCGTGCGCCTAGCAAGGAGTCGCGCTACACTGGGAACGACGCTGGCCCTCCTGCACACGGACCAGCCAGCTTTCGGTGTTGCCTGGCACAACGTCGCAGCGCCAAGGTCACTGGCTGAGGTGACGACACCCATTCCATGTTGGACTCTTTGCTGTTGAACTGAGATCGCTCCTAGTAGCACGACAACGACAACCTCAGCCACGACATTTCCTTCGACTTGTGTATAACGTACGAGGCGGTTCGCGGTGCCATGGTAACGCAGCCAAAGCAGCTCATTGGAGCCAGTATCTTACAGCTGCTTAATGTGTGATGTGACGTAAACCAACGTCGTCCTCCCTTTGCTGAGGGGGTGCAGCCATGCAAAGGAGTATTCGACTGAACCGGGATCAAATGGCTCGTGCTCAGTAACAACTCCTTTGCGGGTCTGCTGCTCCGTCTCTCGGGTGTGGATAGCCAGTATCAAGGCGCGTCGAGGTAGTAAACGCCTTAATTACCGGTTAAGCAAATCCTAGCTGGATTGTGCTGAAAAGTAACAATGACGAGATTGCCGTCGGCCAAATGGATGTTAAGCTGGCGCGGTGATAACAAGTGCAACTTCAAGGCAGGGTCTTGGGAGAGAACCAAACAAGGATGATGGAGCGTCACAAACATAACATACCCATCGAGCACAGCATGAAGACATTTTCGAAACTATGGCAGGCCTATCTTTATCCTTGCAGGACGCGGCAGGCAGAACCAACACACTTTAGACAAATATGACGCCACTTGATTGATGTAGTTCGACGAGGCATTCTCGACGCACCAATCGGGAAGATCCCGCACTCCCCGAACCCGCCAATGCTCCATCCTGCCTGGTAGCCAACGCGAATGACAGATCGCTCTCTCATTGATTGCTTCGCTTCCGCGTCCGTTTCGCTCCCCTCCAGGTTGGGCCATGACCCTAGCACTAGCCCTGAACTCTGTTTTTCTTGTGGGTACCGTACCCTGCATCGTGTGACTGAATGGATATTGCAACAAGCTAGTGAAGGGCAGAGATAAGGATGGGAGAACAGGACAAAGGTAGTGGCATGTGTTATTTTCGGCAATAACCATCTCGGAGACCCTTATGGACCGCCACTCAAACAACGTCCATATCCAGTTTCAGCCCTTGAGCAGCTGGGGTATCAATTTTGGAGTGCGGCCGAATTGGTTCTAAGCTATGCAACAAGGGTGTTCTTTCCTGATTCAGTATTGTACTCTGTCTGCAAGACCCAGATCTCGGAGCCACCAAACGAGCTGTATGACCGCATCCAATGGCCCCAATCTCCGGCTTTGCTTGCTGGCTAAAGACCCTCCGCGCCCGAGAAATAGACACGCTCGAAAAAGATCTTTTCGAGTGATGAGGCGTTGCGTAACGCCAGATTTATCCGCCTGGCGCTTAAGGAATGGAAGTAGTACTTACACACTCGTGACACGTGATTCAAACATCCCGCAGTAAACATCCGGTGCAACGGAATCATCCACAACTATCATGCGTCCAGAGCTGCATTCAGTGTTCTCACCTTTGAGAAACACCTCGTCAAGCAAAGCGCCTTCGAGAGGGTGCCTTCCACAGATTCATGCGTCCACCTTTCTGAGCTGCGCCTCCGACGAGGAGAGTGACAATGTCAAATAGGAAAAGGGCCTTCTACAAGACGATCCGCATCAGGAAATGAGCTTTGCGACCGGAACAACGTCCCCCCCAGATATCGTGGCTGAAATCAAGACCGCCTGCTCTGCATCATCTCGGCCTGACCCAAGCAAGAGGAGCGAGGCAATGTCTTCGTATAGAGTGGCACACGTCTACGAGAAAGCTTCCGGAGAACGGTCGCTTCATCTCAGGACAGCCAGCCGCGATGGCGCGGTTATCACTAATTCTTTTGACTGGAATTCGAATGGTCCTGGCGCAACGTCTTCCGAGTGCGGAATCCCCAGACCAGACTCGCCCACCATATGAGGGTGTTGTAGCCGTTGTAGATGTATCACCAGATATTGCTATAAAAGACACGCATGGAGGCGTCTCATGTGTTCAATACAGCACACGCTCATCGAATGAGAAATTCTACTTGTATTCTGTGGTAGATATACCAATGAGCCCTGATTTTCCAGTAATTTGATTCATGTCCAGGTGCCAGCACCAGCTCATGCGCCATTCTATGTGCCTTCCGCTCATTCGATTGGTTTGTGGTTGTCTTCACGCACTGCATTGTCGGATTGTATTCTTAAACCATAATACCATATAGTACAGTTTTGAT